AGCATTAGCACTTAGGCTTATATACAAGTTGATAGTGTTTTACAACACTCTAAGCCGTTTGCAGAGTCAGCATAACAATCCCGTAACAATCTTGGTCCTCATTTTACCAACTTCAGAAAAATGGAAGGCAGAGTCAACCTTGAGCCGGTCAGGATCGAACTCCTAGCAGTGGGCAGTTAGCCTGCAATATTGCATTCTAACCACTGTCCCAGCCATCACCATCACTATGATACTAAGTTATGTACTGTCTGCACTCTGTTTGCATTGAACTCTAGTATATCATGTTCTTGATTTGAAAAATTCATCCAGTTTTGATTGGATGAAAATTAATACTTAGCACGATTTCTTGTAATTAGTTGTTTTAATGCACTGGGTAGCATTCTTCAAGTTAGACACTGATCAATCCATAATACTAACAATAATGTTGAAAAAACTGACTGAATTGGGGGTGGATGGGAGAGAGACCTTTCTCACCCCCTATTATTTTACCATTGAATTTATAATCCCTAAGTTTTAGTGATCCAAATAAAAATATAAACAGGCCATGGTTTGTGGATTCTTCCTCAATGTATTATTGTTTTTCTAGATCTGTTAATGAGGGAAATTACAAAGACCCTTTTAAATTCTGTGTACTGATACAAGAAAGCTTATGAGTTTTAGGAGGCTTCTGCAATGTTGCTTTTTAGATGCATAATGTTTTATATAAACAAGTTTGATTGTATAAGCAAGGATGGTATTTATGACATTCATTTTCTAGTATGCAACAGCAGAATATTGGAAACAGCTGTGTACAAAAAGACTTGGTTGTTCTAGCTGACTATATTACTTAGACCTTTCCCAGATTTTAGACAAAGGCTTTTACAATTTTAAGCAGAACTTCTGGTGACTGAGCTTAGCCTTTGTGCATAGGAAGCATGCAACCATAACTTGAGTTATGGTTTTTCTTGAATCACCAAAGAATACAAAAAACAATATTGAAAGATTTGTCCCTTCCTATTCTTCAGATTTAATAGATTTCAAATAAAAAAACTTTCAGTGTAGGTTTCAGTTGAAAAATGAAGTAAGCAAGGCTTATTATCTTATCTTATTATGTACAGGTGTCATTGAAAGAACTTGAAGGTGGAAGTAATAGCTGAGCTGGGAGATATACACTGTCATCAGCACAACAGAGGTATATCTCTAACCAGAAACTATTTCACATTATTGCCCTAAATAAGGACAGATTTCATAATCACACCAATCCAACCAACCCATTAAGTGTAAAATACTTAGAACCAAATGGGAAATTGTGATTTGAATTAACAGGAACGGGTTTGAGAGTAAATGGTATTAAAAATAGACAAGTTAATGTGAAAGGACTGGTAGAAGAAGTAATCAATGCAAATTTCTATTGATTTTCAAAGGATCTGCTGTAAATTGTGCATCTGTGTTAAGTTCCATTTAAAGCTCTCCAAGTGGTTGCCTGTATGGGTTTGTGGTACAGAGACAATAATAAAGATAATTGTAAATAACTGAGTAAGGGAAGCATAGAGTAAAGTAAGGGAGGTGCCAGTTCTGTATTAAGTTTAATGGAAACAACATCAGGGAGTAGTTGGAAAAGTTACTTATGCTGTATTACAACAATTTGCCTAAAAGCAAACTGTTATCTTATTTTAGTATCATAATGATATAGTAGGAACTTAAAATTTGCCTTTTAGGATTCCACATAGTTTCTAGTTAAGTAAGTTGCATTATGGAAAATATAATTTTGGCACAAAAGCATTCCTGTTTAATAACAGTAGGCTGAGAACTGGGTGTATGATTCTATTTGCATTGGCTTGAGTTCTGCATCTTTTGCCATCTGCTTATCAGTGTCCGTCTATGTAGTCGTACTTGATTTCATTTTCTTTCCCTAAATTTGTTAACTTCTGAAAACCCTTAGTATAAGTTCACTGTCTGCAAGGATTTGCCTTCTTCTAAGGATCCATTTATGTTAGGTTGCCAGTAGCCTTTGTGTTTGAATCTTGGGTTTGTTCCACTTCTGCTAAAAGAACATAATTCCACAATAGGAATGGCTAACTTATAGTCTTGTTGGTGGACTTCAACTCCAATAATTCTTCACTAGACCGCTGATTTGGCATATTGCTGTTGAAACAATGGTACAATGGTATTAAAATGATGAAAATATTGTAATTATAGCAATACGCAATAACAAATATGCAATTAGTAGAGATGGGCAGCACACAAGATACAAGAGTCTTTCTTCTAAAGATAAGGAACTGTTTATTGACTTTCAGGAATAATTTCACATGGGATCTTAGTAAATTAAGACAGTCATGTCCTGGTTTCTATTTCTATTTAAATAGGAAGTCTTTTGTGCCAACTGGTTCCTTGGCAAGGGCAAATGGACTCCTTATATTTGAAACATTGCAGAAACTATGCTTTTTAAAGTTGTAGGACTCCTTAAGTAGTCAGACATTTAAATACATGCTATGCTGCAATATGCTGCACTGAAATATTTTGGAGCCTCTATCTTAAAGCATTTGTTTGAACTGAGATACTTTTGAGTATTGCACTTCCTTTCCCACAGTCTTAACTTCCCATTCCACAGCGTCATAATATTTTCCTGCATGGCTCAGGAAAGCAAAGTAAACATAGACCATTCCTTAAGGGAATGAGAATGAAATTTGCTCCAGTGCACTTTTGTGGCTTATAGCTGGAACCTTAGGACCTTTGAAACTGCTCGGGTTTACTTCTCCATCCCCCAAGGAGGAATGTCTTCTGATTGTAATCAGAGTGGGAGCATAAGGTAGGGATAATCTTGAGCAAAGACTCTGAAGAGATGTCTGTTTTTCAGTGCTCTTCATGTTTGGTTATCTAAAAGTCTTCGTTTACCCAGTTTTTAAAATACTGTACATTGTTTTTAAATTAAATGTAATTGTGAGCAGATTGAGTCGCCCAAATAAAGAAGCAAAAACCTCTTGTTCTTGGTGAATCCTTTGTCCAGTGCTTTCTTGAAAATTGAATGATTCTATTACATTTTCTCATTCACTGGTGATAGGATAAGAGAACATGAGTCACTCTTAGCCTTCCTGTCACTTTATTTCCTGCAGTAAAATGAAAGACATAGGAATCACTCTGGGAACTAAATGACCCAGTCAGCAAGGGTTACTTGGGCTGCCTATTAGGTTTTCCAGCAAAGAAAAAGGATTTCCCTCTTAAGTCTTGAAAGCTATGGCTGTAGTTGCAGAGACAATTCTTCTATGCCTGATTTACTTATTGGAAATTGCCAAAAATGTCCTTTTGATTCTTGGTTGCCATTTAAAAACTTTTAAAGGCATAAACTTATGTCTACCAAATAAAATGACTGTCTCAGCCTTCCTGATCTGAAAATAATGGCAGCAGTGTACCTTTAAGTCCCTAAATTGGAGAAGACTGATCATACTTAGTTCAGCATCCTGTTTCCTAGAGTGGATTGCAAATCACAAAGCCAATTGTGCTTTTCCATGCAGTGTTCCATGATTCATATTATATCTGTTGGCTGTAGAAATACTTTGCAGAAAAATGAAAGGCACCAAATACATCTTTTCATCAAAATCACATCTTTTCAAAAAATTGCCTGGGAAATTACATAATCAAAGTTTGAATGCGTAGGTTTACTATCAACATTCAAACAGATACTTTATCTCTGCACTCTGGTCTTTTGCATATTGAAGTCACTATTTATTAAGAGTTCAGAGTAATAAAGAGGTTCAAACTGGCCTAAAGAAATGGACAAAATCATGAGTTTCAATTAAAAAAATATTTGTGTTTTTCTGTAGTGGTTTAACATTCAAAGGAAACAAATTTCACTGCGGCCTCATTAATGTGGATTATTAAATATTATTTTATAATTAATCTTGAATTGCAAACAATGGGAACTCCTTGTTGGCTTTCCAAGAAATATATTCGGGATGCCTTCATTTATAAGACATATAAGTAGTTCTCAACTTAAACTTAACTGAGCCCAGAATGACGGTCTTGTTATTAGAGTTGTTAAGTCAAGGCATCACATGACTAGACTTGGGGTTGTTAAGTGAACACTGGTCATTAAGTAAATCGGTTTTCTCCAACGGGAATTTTTTTGTCAGAAACTGGAAATAAATCCTGGAAATGGCACACCCCCCACACACAAATCATGCTCAGGTGATCACAAGACACTAAAACAGCCATAAAGACAAGTCAAGTGTATGTAATGTAGTCACATAACCGCAGATGTATGTGTGTGGCTGCTGTAACTCCGAAACTGGGTTATGAAAGCTTTTGAGAATCTGTTGTAACTTTAAACATTAGTTAAGTGACCGGTCATAAATTGAGGACTACTTGTAAATGTTTATGTGTAAACTCACACTTTACTTTTAGATTTTTTTGGGGGGGGTGATAAAGCTGTATGCTAAGGCCTTAATGTGTTCTTTTGACCCTAAAATATTGGCAGAATGAAGAAGATTGTGGATTGGGAAATTAAGAAAGATTGACACTTCTGATGCTTGTCTTTAGACTCATAGTAAACAATGTGGCTGAGAACTGATTACCGTGGATTAGAAGAAAGAGTCACCGATGGCTCTCTTTATTAACATTCATTAGGTTGGTGTCACTTATCAGCCACCTTTGTGGGAATCACAGAATCTTGATGATTTTGCCCAGCTCTGCTCCTTGTATGTGTGTGGAGTGCACCAGAATAACAAAAAGCTCCCTCTACCTGCAGACATCACAGCCTGCCTTGTTTTCCCCAAAAAAATTGACTAAAGGCTGAACACTATACAAAGGTTTACCTACAATATCAATTGAAGGATATATTTTGTCAGTTCTCTTAAAAGGCAAAATGTTGAATTATTTTTGGTTAAATCTACATATATTTTTTTGCTTGTAATAAATATTTTGAATGAAATAGATATTCTGTGAAACAATGAGCTGCAAGAGATTTGCTATTAATCTTCTAATTAGTAATGTGAAGTCTAAAAAGTCTTTCTATTTTTTATTAGGGTCGACATGTCAAGACAGGTCAGTTGGCAGCTATTAAAGTCATGGATGTTACTGAGGTAAGTCTTGAATTAAGACTTCTCTTTTTTAAAGAATAATATAAGAATTGTCTTAGTTCTGAACTTCATGATGAGAACTCTTTATTCAAAGTCATATATATAGATGTTTGGGCTGGGGCCAATGTGAAATACGCACCAATCTGAGAATAAATGCATGTCCTTTTTTAGATTGAAAAGGAAATGGACCAATAAAGGTCTCAAAGTCCCAAATGCAGAACATCTGCTAAAATATGGAGCAGATTGCTGGTATCTTTCAGCAATGTAAAGGCAGGAGTTGTAATGGACTCAGGGGATTTATTGTGGAGCGTTATATGAGAATGGGGAGGAATTAACATAGCCAGAGAAGCAAAAGTATACATCTGTAATTGAACCATGATCTTTCAAAGTATCAGTTAAAAGCTCTGGAAATCGGTTTTTAATTTCAGCAGTATTTTAAACATTAGAAAAGAGAAAGGTTTATCTAGGAATGATATGTCTATAGTTATAAACTTATATATTCGTCAACTGTGTTTTGTTAACAGTAGTCTGCAAAATGTTTGAATTCAAACAGATTTTTGCTTCCAAACCTGTTTAGTACATCTAATTCAGCCTGAACCATCTTTGTTCAATTGGCAGAATAGTTACCATATTTTTCGGAGAATAAGACGCACCAAGATTTTGAGAGGCAAATTAAAAAGAAGTTTTTGCACTCTGCAGACCTCCCAAAAACGGCCTGTTTTTTGTGAAAATAGGCCCATTTTCATCAAAAAAAAGGGGGGCATGCATAGCCTTTAGGAGGCTTATAGAGTGCTCCTGGGGACTGGGGGTGGCAGCAAAATTGAGCAAAAAAGCCAGTTTTTCACTCATTTCTGCCCTCGCCAGCACCCAGGAGCACTCTGAAAGCCTCCTAAAGGCTATGCATAGGTATTCTGGTGAAGGGGAGGGGTTTTGGGAGGCAAAAAATGCTGTATTCAGTGTATAAGATGCACTCAGATTTTCAGCCTCTTTTTAAAGGGAAAAAGGTGTGTCTTATACTCCAAAAAATACAGTAAGTTAGCTAAATACAGTACCTTCTGGGATCTCATGTTCACTTCATAACTTTAATCCGAACACTTATTTTAGTCTTGACCTATTTTTTTAATTTAAAAATTGGGTCTACAAAATAATTTGCTCTACCAGCAGGGCTACTAATTTGTTAATGAACAGCTTAGTTGATCATTGGGAAATTCCTATATTGTGAGATAGTTAGTATTCTTGAAGGAGCTATATAAAAACCACACAGAGCCACACAAAACCATACAAAGAAAACTTTGTACACACAAATTTTGTTTAAACTCTGCAATAATACACTTGAAAAAAAACATCATTAAAAGATATTGATTTGTAAATAAATAGTTTATTTTAACAAAATAAAATAACTCTTATGTTGAGCTGTGTTATTATAAAGTTTTTTTTAATCAGTCTTGCTCTGAAGATTAGGGAAGGAGCATTCAGATAAGAAAATTCCTCATTTTCATCTTGATGATTTTACCTAGACTTGTGTTAGTGGGTTAACTAGCAGGAAAAGATCTTAATCTTATAATAATTTATAACAGTGTATTCTAATTCTATTTTAAGTATGATTGGATTCAATTATTTCTTTTCTACCATATGAATTTTTGTTCTTCCATTCAAAAAAGGGAAAATTTTAATTCGAAAATGCTAATATGTATACACAGTACCAAAATAAAACAAAAAAGTCAGAAATAGCAGTAGAAAACCTGAAAAGTTTGTTATTTTTTAAAAAATTCTATAGAATACCTTTCTTCAAAAATCTAGTTGTAAAGTAATCATTACAATTGTACAACACATGAAATATTTTGTGTAATTTTATTCAATCTTTCAATAGCAGTTGAAGAGCTTTATAGTTAAATTAATGTATTTTGGGGAAAATACTTCCTGCAAGTCACCTTTTAAATATCTAAAAATGCAACATGGTTAAGATACAAATTATTCATTGCTTAATCATTAAGCTGACTTCAGTTATGAAGAAATAATTTATATTTGCATGACATATAAATATGAACTTTATGTCATAAAGCTTGCAAAAGACTATATCTATGTCACACCAATGAGTCACATTATAATGAATTTAAGAGCATTATGATAATACTCAATACATTTTCCCCCAAATTATATTTGAATGCTAATATAGTGGGGAGGGGGGAGTTGTGCTTTTGAAATTTGTAAAATTCATAACGGACTTAGTGGAATTGGATCTGTTTGAAGTTTCTAGTGATATTTATCAGCTGTGTGACAATAATATTGTGATTTTTTTTATATAACTCAAGACAATATTTCTGATTCAGAAATATGGTCTTAGTTTTGTTTTACTTGTAATAGCATAAAGACATGTGTAGAAATATTGTTCCAGTTCCCATTGTCATAGCAGATAAATATTAGCAAAATGGGTGATGTATAGAGAAATGAACAACACTGGATTACGGAAAGTTTGCCCCTTTCTACCAAAGTTGGAGAAACATGTTTATTGAATAAATGTGTATATTGACTCATAAGTAGCTCCATAATATCTGTACAATGACTTACAAAGATTTGTTAGAAGACAGCTTTCAATATGCCCACTCAGCAAGTCCAACTGAATTCTTGAGAGTGTGAGCCAAACACATCTGGAATTGGAAAACATTCTTATAGTAGGGATGTGTATCTGTATGATAAAAATGGAGGCATAATGCCAAGAGCTTTGTAATGTGATCCTGCAATAATGAGGGAGGCTAAGTTATCCCTAGTATTGTTGTCTAAGTTTGCTTTCTTTTGTTTCCAATCTAGTAAGTACTTCTAAGTAAATAATCACCAAATGCTATAATTGCTTAGTTGAAAAGGAAACACTGAATTATTTTCATTAACATGCTGTTTCTCGTCCTAGTCCTTCTTCTTATTCAATTAGTTATCCTGAAGTGAGCTTTGTTTAGATGAAATCATCAAGAAGGCATGTCTTTTTATTTTATCTATGGATAATGCTGACATCTGACGTATTGCATGAACCATTTTTAGTCTTTTTGGGGCCCCTTCCATATTTTATTAATTTTGTTGTAACTTTATGTTTTATGATCATTTTGGCTGAACAGGCTTGTAATTATATTACATTAATGTTATTTTAAACGAAGAATATTTATTTCAGTACATAAATTGGGAATACCTATATCTGAACCTAATAATTTTTATTTCTTATTGAGAATTAGAACATGTGAAGACCTTAGTATTTATCATTATTAAAGATTCATACAATGACAGGTAAATGAAATCATGCAGGCTTTATAATGTGTATTGTATTACACACTGCATATTTATTTATAAAATAAAAAAGATTGTTTTATTTCAAAACCCAAACCCAAATGTTCCAGAAATTGTGCTAAACTCTGTCAGGTCAACCATTGTAGGTGGCCATCCATTTATGACTGTAATTGAACCTGGTAATTATGGTCATGACAGTATAAAGCAGGTCATCATGTGACTGGATTCGATTTTATGAGCTTTTTTGCAGCAGTCATTAAGCAAATACCACAGTTATTAAGCAAACCATTGTTCTCTGTGGAGGGGGGTTCCCCCTGTAAATGGAAAGTGAATGCTGATTCCCATGATAAATCACGTTTGTGTGACTGCAGGGCACAGCAAAAACAGCCATAAATGTGGGCCAGTTGCCGAGGACCCAAAATATAGTCATGTAATGTGACCGTATATGAAGAGGCAGATATAATAACTTTGGAACCAGGTCGTAAGTAGCTTTTTTGGGGTGGGGTGGGGTGGGGTGTCTATCATAGCTTTAAATGGTTGCTAAGTTACCAGTCGCAAGACAAGAGCTACCTTTATTTGCCATAACTGGAACATTTCAGTTGCTCCGGTTTCAGTTGAAACAAAACAAAAGAGGTCAAATAAGCAACGGTAATTTACATCTTCCCAGCTTCTTCACAACTCACAGTACAGTACAGTACAGTATAACTCACTGTTGAAATGGTCTTCAATCTTTCCCTTTTCTCTCTCTGTTAGTAAATCTGTTAGTACAAGCCAATATCTGCAAAACTTTACAAGGAGTCTTGGAGAGTCACGAGCCAATTAAGTGAACTAATTGTCTCCTGCAAACTCCACTCCCCTTTTGCTCCTCTTTTATTTCTTCTGGGAGAGGCCATTCATCATCCACCTGTAGCCTTACTCCCAAGTCGACCCCTGTTCTTTAGCTGTTCCCTTCGTCTGGCAACTCTGTACATGTGCAGACTGGGAACAGGATCCAGCTGTTCGTCTGCCTCACTGATGTCTGACTCTGAAGGCAGCTGATAATTGGCATACCTCTCTGCCTCCGACACACCTCTCTGCCTCCAACACAGAGCCCTCATCTGAGCGTTCCCAAGACTCCAGGACTGAGCCATGTTCCTCTCCAACTCTTCACTGTCTGAATCTGTTGCCACTCTGCTGGCGGGCCAACACAGGCCTGGGACATCAGAATGGAAGGCATCGGGAAGATTGGGGAGCAATTGGCCATGGATATTGGTGTTGAGGATTCATAAAATCCTCCACTTACGACCAGGAGGCCAGCAACAGTCTAGGCTGCGCCCTGATTGGCTGAGGTGCAGCATAGCCTGTTGCTAGCCGACCGAGCCAACCTGATTGGCCAGGGTACTGCGTCAGCAGTTGCTAGACGCTACCAGGCCTCCCATTGGTTCCCCTGTTTAACTAAGTTAGTATAAATACCTTGGCGCGGAATTTTTACTTTTGAATCGCTGTCAGCTCCTGCTTTTCTTCAATAAACTGTTCTTGTGTGAAGTCGTTCCTGCCTCGATCCTTTAAAGATATGGCACAGTGGAAGCTGTTGATGAATAGCAAAGACAATGTCTTCAACGACATTAGCCATTTTTGCCTGGAACAGCCATTTTATGCAGTGGTATGGACAACTACAAAGATTTTTTGTTCCATGCATGGATCAGAATATTTTAAACATGCATGGTTTGGTTTGGACATAGAAACTGACT